CCAATATATTTTTCTTCCAATGTAGGATGAATTCGAGAATACCTTGATACAAGATTAAGGAGCATAATTGGAGAAAAACTAGAAGAAGGAAGAAAATTTTCAGCATGAAAGTCGCTCGAGCGAGATGGACTCTCGCTTGAGCGAATATAAGTTATTCTTCTCTGGAAGTCAGTCGGTCAAGCGCCAGTAAATTCGCTTAAGCGAATATTAGTTATTCTTCTCTGGAAGACAGTCGCTCAAGTGCAAGTAAATTCATTTGAGCGAATATTAGTTATTCTTCTCTGGCGCTCAATCGTTCAATCGAGCTAATTGTCGCTTGAGCGAAAATAAGAAATTTTCGCTTGAGTGAGCGTTGTCGCTTGAGCGAAAGACGCGAGACCCAATTTTTCCTATAAAAGGATAAGATGTGTTTTGAGAAAAGTAAGCAGTTTTGGGGAGAAGAAGCGCGACTACTGCTAGGGTTTTGTCCAATCTTCATCAATTTTTCACTTCTTCCACATTTGGAGCACTGTAATGGCCAATATGAGTGACTAACTTCATTCTTTTGGGATTTGGTGCACTTCCTTTGAGCACTTTTGTATCATGGTGATATTTTTAGATATTAATCTATATTTTGATGTTGTTATTCTTATCTTTTGTGCTTTGAAATAATTTATTCTTGATATTTGGGGTATGATTGAAAAATATATCTTGAACCCTAGATCACGGTAAGAATATTTGTTACGTTAATTACCAGGAATGGAATCAATGTATCAATTGTTTAACACCCTAAACCTAATGCTGGAAAATCTCTTGTGTGCGAAACCAACATTTATTAGGTTTTCTTATGAATTTCATGTGTGAGAAATCAACATGGATGATTTGAGTAGGTGGCATCAACATTGATAGGTTAATTGATGTACTTAATTGATATAGTCATTGCAAAAGAGGGATAAAGAAGGAAGTAAATCCTAAGTGCCTTTAATTGATCTTTTCTCAACAATTTACATTTCTTTGTCATTTAATTTCAATTCAACTCTTTATGCAAAACTCATTTTGTTTTAATCCATTTAGTAAGCATATAATTGAGAATTTCTATTGAAATTGTTCCTCGTAGGATCGACTTTTATTTAATCGAAATACTATACTGCGATTGATAATTTTGGTATGCTTGTTGAATACTTGTTGAATTATTGGCAAGTGTACCAAAATTATCAATCACAGTATAGTATTTCGATTAAATAAAAGTCGATCACACGAGGAACGATTTAAATGGAAATTCTCAATTATATGCTTACAAAGTGGATCAAAACAAAATAGGTTTTGCATAAAGACACTACAAAAAAAAGCCGATTATCTACAAAATATTATCTACGGATAAAAATCCGTAGGTAAATTTTACATTACCTACGGATATTACCCACGGATAAAAATCCGTAGGTAAATTGTACATTACCTATGGAATTTTATCCGTGGGTAATTATTCATTACCTACGGATATTATCCGTAGGTAATGTCATCCGTGAGTAATTTCGTAGATAATTACCTATGGAATTACTATCCAGTAGGTAAATTATATTAAACCCTAAAAGAATTGTCACTAGCAAGAATCAAAACCCAGTACCTTAAAGTTGAAAATTAATACTCCAACCACTAAACTATTAGGATATTCTAATAATAATTTACAAATAAATTATACTTATATTTATTCGTGTAAATATATAAATATATAAAAATAAAAATAAAAATAAAAATATATAAATATATAAATACATAAATATATAAATACATAAATATATAAATACATAAATATATAAATATAAATATAATTTATTTATAAGTTATTATCAAAATATCCTAATAGCTTAGTGGTTGGAGTATCGGCCTCCAACTCTGAGGTACTTGGGTTCAAATCCTGCGACAATTCCCTTAATCTAATAATAATTCAAAGTTCAAAAAATATAATAAATAATAAAAATATAATATAAAGGGGAGGGGGTCCTAGGTAATAATAAAAAATAAGGGAGAAAATATTTTCTTTAGGTGAGTGCATTACAGAAAGAAATCCGTAGGTAAATTGACATTACCTACAGATTTTTGTCATTACCTATAGATTTTACCCGTAGATAATAAGCGTTTTTTTTAGTGAGAGTTGAATTGAAATTAAATGACAAAAAATTATAAATTGTTGAGAAAAGATCAATTAAAGGCACTTAGGATTGACTTCCTTCCTTATCCCTCTTTTGCAATGGCTATGTCAATTAAGAACATCAATTAACCTAACAATGTTGATGCCACCTTCTCAAATCATCCATGTTGATTTCTCACACATGAAATTCATAAGAAAACCTAATAAATGTTGATTTCGCACACAAGTATAAGATTTTTCAGCATTAGGTTTAGAGTGTTAAGCAATTGATACATTCATTCTATTCGTGACAATTAACGTAACAAATATTCTTACCGTGATCTAGGGTTCAAGATATATTTTTCAATCATACCCCAAACATCAAGAATAAATCATTCCAAAGCACAAAAGATAAGAATAACAACATCAAAACATAGACTAATATATCAAAATATCACCATGATACAAAAGAATTTAAAGGAAGTGCACTAAATCCCAAGAGAATGAAGTTAGCCACTCATGTTAGTCAATACAGTGCTCCAAATGTGGAAGAAGTGAAGAATTGATGAAGATTGGATGAAACCCTAGCAGTAGTCGCACCTTTTCTACCCAAAACCGCTTACTTTTCTCAAAACACATCTTATCTTTTTATAGGAAAAATTGGGTCTCGCGTCTTTCGCTCAAGCGACAACGCTTGCTCAAGCGAAAATTCCCTATTTTCTCTCAAACGACAATTTGCTCGCTTGAGCGAGTGAGCTCTAAAGAAGAATAACTAATATTCGCTCAAGTGAATTTACTTGCGCTTGAGCGACTGACTTCCAGAGAAGAATAACTGATATTCACTCAAGCGAATTTACTGGCGCTTGAGCGACTGACTTCCAAAGAAGAATAACTAATATTCGCTTAAGTGAGAGTCCATCTCGCTCGAGGGACTTCCATGCTGAAAGTCTTCTTCCTTCTTCCAGTTTTACTCCAATTATGCTGACAATTATGCTCCTTACTCTTGTATCAAGGTATTCTCGAATTCATCCTACATTGGGAGAAAAATAGATTAGAATTAACATAAGTTAAGTGATTTCATAATAATTCAAAGCATAATTATATCAACTTTTTACCACTCAACAATACTAGATATTTACTTCTTCATGATTAGCCTTCATTACAACATACTGAGTTCAAACTATTGTACCTATTATAATATATTTGATGAGAATGATTTTATGATTTGGTCATTATATGTGGATGACATGTTGGTGGTAGGTCCCAACAAAGCTCAAATTCAATAATTAAAAGCACAATTGGCTAAGGATTTGATATGAAGTACTTCAGACTAGCAAACAAAATTTTAGGGATGAAAATTCACTGAGACACAAAAGATAAAATGTTTGTCTTTTTCAGAAGAATTACTTATTGAAGTTCTTATAACATTGTAATACGCAAGGGTGTAAACCACTTTCTATCAAGTGTAAGTTATTATCAAGTATGAGTCTTAGCAATGAAGTGGAGAGGGTGAAAATGCATCTACAATAGAAATTCTTATGAATATCAGATCAAACATTGCATAAATAGGACGAGTAAGTAGTAGACTCATGACAAATCATGGTGGAGAGTACGAGTGTTACTAAAATGATCCTTATCAGATGAACCTTAGATGTTACATTATTGATTCAGAAGATTAGAACTAGTTGTAAGAAAGTTCAGGATTTATAGGTGATCTTGACATATTTGCACTTGTAGGCAATGGTGAAGTTTCTTGGGAGGTGAGAGGGTTATGGTCCCTCAAAATTTTGTAACTTACATGTACATTTATGATTTTGCCCTATGTCCTCAAATTTAGTGATCATTAAATATATTTGTTTATATATTTATAATTTTGGTCTCTCACATTTTCATATTCTTTCACAATTTCATATTTATTTATTATTTATTAATGATATATTATTTGACCCTTAAAATCATTGGTCAAGATCCATCACTACTTGTAGGAGAGGCACTACTTGTAGGAAAGGCAATAGATTGGTTATCCAAGTTACATGTTATGTTATGATTTTGTCTAATATATAGAATTCAAATACATGATAACAACCCAAGTATATAAGAAGTTATTTGAAATAAAAGATTAATGGATGAACTTCGAGTACAAGTAGCAAATGATTATTATGAATTATGATAGTTATAATGTTTTGCATATTACAAAGAATCCTAACTTACATTTTAAGACAAAACAAAAAAAACTTAATAGATATTATGACAAAATAGTCACAAGTTTATCATTCCTATTAAAGATTTATTAGTAAAAATATCAACTTGAAAAACAATAATAATATACAGCAAAAAATTGATTAATTTAATTAAAATATTTAAGTGGTCGAATTAAAAAAAGAAATTCAAGATAAAAAAACTATATATTAATAATAATTTTATTATTATTATAAAAAAACAATATTTATCTTATAAATCATCTTTACATTATATAATAATTGAGTTTTTTTATTATTGTTTATTTTCGGTTTTTTTTTAATATTATAATTTCTTATTATAATAAAATTCTATTATTAGCTATTTCAATTTTATTTTATTTTCTCGTATTTTATTTCTCGTGAGTTTTTGTGATATTTATGTTGCTCGAATTCCTAACCGTATAAACTGGTTCATATAACATGGGATTACTCAGGTCTATCACGAGGACAATAAACATCTCGAAAGAGATATACGTGGACCCTGATTTTGAGTGAATCGTTGGTATATATAGGTCAGAAGAGTATGCGAACTTATGGTGGAGATATAGCCAAAGAAAAACCAGACTTGGTCTTTCTCTCTCTTTTCTCTCCATTTCTCTATCTTAATCGGTTTTGCCACTGGTACTGAGACTTAAGATAAGGAACTTGAAGAGATGGTGAAAACCACTTACTCCAATAAAAGTGGACTTAAGAAAGGAACATGGACACCAGAGGAAGACAAAAAATTGATTGCTTATGTTACCAGATATGGTCACTGGAATTGGAAGCTACTCCCCAAGTTTGCAGGTACCTGAAAATATCTGATGCTTTTATTTCTTCCCTCTCTATAATGTTGCATTTTAACTAGGGATATGAACCTAATGAAACTGGTGCTGTTATGAAACCATCTTATGCCATGTATATAACTTGATTCATTTTCCAGGTCTTGAGAGGTGTGGAAAAAGTTGCAGGTTAAGGTGGCTGAATTACTTGAGGCCAAATATAAAAAGAGGGAACTACACTACGGAAGAAGATGAGACTATTATACACCTTATCCAAAGTATCGGTAACAGGTATATGAAATGTATTCCGTATTAGGGTAGACACCCTACATCTTCACAAAAACTCTTATTATAATTTTAGTCAATCAAATGCTTCTTACAATTTTAATGTTAGGTTCCTTTCAAAAATTATCATTACCTATACATTCTAGTACGTAGACACATTTATCCTAATTAATTTAGTGTGCATACGAACTTTAATTAGAATTTTCCACTAACATATTTGATTTCAAATTCTCTAATTGACATTTTCAGTAGAAACTCTCCACGTTTGTTGGTCAATAAATAATTAGGTCCAATATTGATCTAACTTAAAGTTGTGATGCCCTTATCAATTATTTAGGTTCATGTCATATTTTTAAATGTGTGAACACATCCTAGGGTTAAAAGATTTGTCATGGATTAGGCTTTGGTTAGAATTTTAGGGAGCTAATAAAATATACAAACTGAAGTAAAGATATGACACGAAACTAGAGTAAAATCCTTGTTGATTAAAAGAACGTGATGTATTAGATTAATTAGTATAATTTTTATTTCATGGAAGTTAAAAATAGTGTAAATAAGGTTTTGGCTAATAGTATAGTCTATTATGTTAATATTTAATATACCAAAAATATGTAAATTTTATGTTAACAGAATTGTCTATTAATATCTAAATTATCAAATATATTAATATTAATTACAAAAGTATTGATATGAGTTTTATCATATAAAGATTATAATAAAAGAAATTAAATTAATGTTATATGGGTGTCACATCTAAAAGTATAATTTTTTTTATTTTTTATGTTAATAATAATAATAATAAACTAATTCTTTATATTTTTAATGTACTATGATGTCCTTTAATATTATCAGAAAACAAAGTGTGGTTCACATTCGATAAAATATTAAGGATTGATTTATAAAGTACAATGAACTAATTTAAACCACTAAAATTTTAGAGACAACTTATTTATCAAATTAAGAAAACATACTATTAAATAGATTTTTAATGAGATTTAACTGGGGTTGGTTAGTAGTAGTAAAACTAAACAACAGATCCATGTACACATATGTACTTAAGTGGGTATGGGTATCCCTAGCAAATTAAGTGATGAGGTGACTTTTAACAAACCTATCTTTAGCACTGGAGAACAAAAAAGTTGAAATTATAATAAAATCAGTAAACATTTTATATCAAAGTAAAAAAAATAAAAATTAAGTACTTAATCATACATTATTATTTATAATATTTCTTAAAAAGTATAAATAGTTATTTTAAAATAATATTATTTCTTTCACAACATTTATTTAGAAATAATAATATTTAAGTGTTATTTATTTTTTAAAATAAATATTTTTTCTCATTTAATATTTTAATTTCAAGGATAGTTGTATTTTTCTTTTACAAAATGTTATTGTATCATTTTTTTAACATTCTGTAATTTGTTGTTGATATTTCAAAGAATATAAGCAATATGTAATCAATATGACTTAATTACTCTTCCAAATTTGAAAAATAAAGAGTATGTATTAGTCTTTCTTCTTCTTCTTCTAATATGAACACTATAAGATAATTTAAAATTTAAAACATAAATAAATATCTAATTTTTGTTACAACTCTTTAAATGTTTCTTTTTTATTTAATAATGTTTATTGAAACACAGATGATTTTGATGATATGGAAGAAGGAGCATGTGGATGTAATTAATATATTAGAATACATAATCATTAATAAGTATCATTCATGTCTGAATCCTCCTTAATGCAGATGGTCTATCATTGCTGCTAAGCTACCAGGAAGAACAGACAATGAAATAAAGAATTATTGGCACACCAATCTCAAGAAACGATGTCAACATCTCAAACCTAAAGTTTCTAACTCAAAGAATCAATCACCAACTGAACAAGAACCAAAGCCAAACAATAATATTTCACCCTCTTCTCAATCCACCGATTCATGTGCATCATCAACATTTCCATCCCAATTCTCTATAAATACTGATACCAGAAAAAAGATGTTTGATATTATTCCTGAGGATGATGATTTTTCTTTGGTGGATGCATACCAACTAGAGCCTGTGAACCAAAACTTCTGGTTGGAACCATATATGGTTGACATATGGGGCATTCATTGTGATATATTGGTGCCTGAACACGATTACATCAGCCCTGTTTCTGACATAGAACTTTGGAGTCACTGTAATGAATACTTTGCTTAACATTCAACAAATGATGAACTTTGACAAATCTAAGGTTCAGTCTCAAGGAGATAAATAAAGTATCCGAAGTCGCTAAAATAAAGTATCCAAAGGTTGCTACTGATGTTGTTGTCTGATGTTTCTTAATTTATACTAGTGTGTTCACCTGTTATGTTGTAAAATTTATTGATGATTAACATGTTAATGGAAAGATTGAGAATTATTCTAATTATTAAGAAGCTAATGAAAAGAAAAAAGAAAAAAACTTAAATGAGAAAGTAGTTTTTATCTAAAAATAGCTACAAAATGTTTATTAAGGTAGAGTATTCATACTAAGAACATTAATTTTTTAAAAGTAATATTTAATGTCTTTTAACTTTTGTAACAAATACAGGCGATAAAAATGTGTGTAATAAACTATTATACTTTCTACTAAATTACCATCTTTTATTTTTGGTTTTCTGCCATGACGTGGTCACAGGGCTTCAATAAACAGATTTTGAAAATAACTTACAAGAAGTTGGGTAAGTAGCCCAAACCTTATTATAATGCCAACACGAATATGGGCTTCATGACTCTCTTTTTTAATGTATTTATTAACTTCGGAAGCTTGATTTCCAATTTATGTATTTATTGCAACAAAATTTACATATTTATGCATGTACAGGAGAAAAAAACTACTTCAAAAGTTATTTTAAAATAGTTATTTATATTACTTCAATGTTTCAGGTTTTGTAATTTAATCATTATAGAAGAATAACTACTTTGAATCATTGGATTAAAATTAAAATATTAAAATAACAATATGGAGAATAATTAATTTTTTTAAATGGAAAAAAGAGAAAAAAAACATAAGATATAAAAAACGAGAAAGATAGAAAAGAGAATATTATTTATAAGAGAAAAATATTGTATGCATAGATGTGTCAAAATAAACTTATCTAATTTAGGGAAAAAAATTGTCTAAATTGAATTAAACTTATTTTCACCCAATCCATATAGACCATGACCTATATGAATTAGGTCAGACTAAGGCTTATGAACTTACTTATTTTATAGAATAATAATTATTTTTAAAATAAAAATAAAATAATATTATTTTAATATATATCTTATTATAAATCAATTTATAAGATATTCACTTATTCTAAGAGTAAATATTAAAATAAGTATCTAATAACCACTTATTTCAAGATCTAATAATTAAGATCAATTACTAACTTAGATCAATAAATTATTATTAAAAAAATAAATGATGATAATGAAAAGTAAGTTTTTTAACTCTTATTTTGATATTGAATAGAACTATGCTCTTACAATTTATGTATTAAATCATTAAATAAGAACTAAATTCATTAATATAACTTAAATTTTAAAAATATATTTTTATTTAAATTTTTAATCAGGTCAAATTGGGTTTGTTATCTATTGGATTAACATAAAATCATATTAGACTAAAAATTATGATCCGTTTTAAAATATAGATTAGACTGAATTATTAAATTTTTTTACTTCACTCGAACCATCTATTTTGATAATCTTGTGTATATACAAGTCAACAATCTATTATATATATAAAAGATATGAGAAAGAGAATGAGTATAGTTCTCTCGTGATTAAGTAATTAGTGGTCAATTTATTTATTTTTATTACGTTAATTGAAGTCATATAAATTTGTTAAGTTATCGAAAGGGCTAAAATTTGATTAACCCATTTGGTAAAGTCTAATATATTTGTTGACTAACAAAATTGGTTAAAGTTTGATTGATGAAGTCGGGTAAAGTCTAATATATATTAGATGATCACTTGAATTTTAAATTTATTTTTATTTTGGAGTAATTTATTATATATAGAGAAAGATAAATATAAAATTCAAAAAGTGTAATAATATATTTTAAATTATTAAGTTTAATGGATTGTAACTTTTTGGTGTTGTGAGGTTGTCCTTGTGGATATATGTTTGAGTCTCACTAATTGATGTTTTAACTTTTGTGGTAGTCCAAATGAAAGGAAGTGGATGCACCTTAATCTAACCATACATTTAATCAATACCATATATTTAATCACTTCTCCCGCCATCTCATTAAATGTGAGGTAATAATAATAAGACATACGAAAAAGAATACTAACCATACATTTAATCCATAACAAAAAGTCTATTAAAAGAAAGAACATTAAAAATGACGTTGAAAGCTGCTGCTGATATTTATGGTTTATGCGTGATGCATAAATGTTCATTTTTTCGTAAATGGATTAATTATTGTCGAAAGCACGGTGGTGGCACTGGTTTTCCACCGTTTGACTTCAAAATCCACTTCGACCACAAAAAAGACCTATGCCTGTGCCTGTCTTTGTCACTCTGAAATTATTGGGGTACATATGTGTTTCACGCATCAGCTTCTTGTGTTGTGGGTATTTTCCTTTTTCTTTTTTTCCATTTATTTCTTGGTCCTTTCCATCTTTTTATCTGAGGACACACAAGGTCTCAAGCGATAAACATTTTCCTATACTTGGTTTTCTTTTCGCAAGTGCATGTGACTCAAGGTCTCAAACTCCGTAGTTGCACCACACTGCCTCAAAGTTTGTAAACCAAGTCTTTTTTTCTTTTTGACTTGTTTCTTTCATAAAATAGGGTATAAGGAAAGATGTATTTTCTTCTTCTTTTATTATCAATACGATGGTGTCGGTATCATTTGCTTCTAGAGTTTACGTAGGTTAATGCACCATCAATTAATCTAGATTATCACATAATTTATTCTATTATTAATCAATTAGTTTTAAAATCGTGATTGTTATAATTGTTGGTTTTGATTTATTGTCATAAATTACTATAAAATTATAGTTATATATACAATATTTTTTTATGTGAAAAATACTACTATTCTTTTCTTACATGTTGTTCTGATATAGTAAAAATGAACAAGTTTTCACTCCTCTTTTATATTCTTCTAGTATAGTATCAATGTTGATAAAAGTTTGTCCCTATAAGTTTTTTAATGTAATTTGAATGGTCTTTTCGCCACGATCTCACTTTCTGTCTTCGTTTTTTGTCGTGATGGCATCGTGCATGTTAAAAGAAATTTGCGACGAAAAAAGAGACACGTAACAGCAAAATGATGAAAATAAATAAATAAAATAAAAAGAAAAGAGAAAAATTGTGTAAATCAAATATTCAAATAAAATTAATATCTATATTATTTTTATTTTATCTTTAATATTCTATCATAAATTAATTTATGAAAGATAAAATAAAATAATTTTTATTAAGAATCAAACTCTATTCCCTTAATTTCTTACATTGTTTTTTATTACAAATATTATTTTTTCCCTTTTGTATTATTTTTAATTATGATATAATCTTGTTGTTTATGACAAAATCAAGAGTATCATAAGAATATTTGATAATATATAATTTTATTGATAATATATAAAATAATTATACAAAGACTCTTGGTCTGGTCTTTAAAGGAAATCATGTTTGATTACCTATTTATGTGATTTCAAGAACTTGGTCTAAAAGCTAAATGAAGAGTCTTTTAAATATATTTTTAGGAAACTTCAAACTTAACAAATCTATTAAGTTAATTATATTGTATTATAAATATTGAATTATTTTTAAAAAATAAACTAAATTTCAATTTTAGTTTTTTTTTTTAGAAATTGAATCGTTTCTAAATAGAATTGCCTATATTGAACTGAATTATAACTTATTAATTTTAAAATGGTGCTTTAAAATAAAGTTTTCATCCGTAACTCAAATAATCTATATAGTTGAGCAATTTAATTTTTGCGCATATCAAGACGAGATTATGATGAAAAAAATATTCATTTATTTTAAATACTAAATATTAAATGTTAAAAATAAAATTTTAAAAATATAAATATAAATATAAATTTTGAAAAAACAAATCTTAGTCACTAAAATAACTTTTATAAGTTGTTAAATAATTTTTCATTTCGATGTCAAAAGAATCTTGCGATATGTCATCGACAATCCTTTATTGTTTGTGATACTCATGTTAAGTGTAAGGACATTAAGTTCAAACAAAAACTCCACCAATGAGAAATATAAATGAATGAAACATTACACATAAATGTATAATACAAATGCATTGATACTTTTCACGCTGTTAAATCACTCTTAAACTTTTCTATTGATGAAGTATAACTTATATTTTCATATAAGTTACTATTAAGACTTTTCACTATACATAAATAACTTATAATTGATACATAAAAACAAATAACAATAACTCTTAATATTATAACTCATAACACTTCAAAATAAATATAAATTCTCATAATACAATATAAGTTTTTTCAATAAAAATAACCATACTACTCATTAACTACTCAAAATTGATTATTAAACTTTTTTATTTCTAAATTTGTGGACACATTTTGAAATTTATTTATTTAATATTTCGATCTTTCTTATATATTTAAGAATTATGTTCACAATACGAAGTGTGGTTGGATAGAAGGAGTGAGGAGAAAAAAAAAGTATAGTTGAAATGCATGAAAGTGTGAAGAAAAACATTTTCTTTATGTATAAAAATCATCACAAAAAGGTTAAATCAATTTTTTAAAATATAATTATGTCTATTTTATAATTAATTATAATAGTTTAATTATCTGTTCATTATTCATTCTCTTATTTTCAAACTGTTTCTTATAATTAAACTCGCAATTTTATTCCATTTTTTTCCTTCTTATTTCCTATACCTCTATGAAATTATGAAACCCCATATTCATTAATAAGAAAAAATAAATGATTTTCATTCCATTTTGGATAGTTTTGGATAATAAGTCAGATCATATAACATAAATTTATCTTTATTTATTTATTTATCTGAACACAGAAATTCAATAATTATTTCTTAACCAAAATAATACATTTTCTTCCACAATAATTGACGTGAATGAAGTAGAAAGAGAATGTGTTGTTTTTTATCTTCAAAATAGTTCCTAAGATTTTCCTTCAAAATAAGTGAGACTTTGGTTGATGTTTAATTTTTCATTACATCACTTTATTGCTTTTTATTTTCTATTATCTTTTGTGATGCATTCGATAAAAAAAAAAAAAGTCATTTTTCTTTCCATCATCTTTTTCGATGTTTTCTTTTTTTTATTAAAAAAAGAAGTTTGATATTTAAATTAAAAAAAAGTGTTTAATCTAAAATTTGTTAAATTTTGTGAATAAAAAAGGAGAAAAATAATAGAAGGAGCATCATTATGTAGCGCGTGTGGATGTGGGGCAATTGTGTTGGCGAGTTCATATGCATGCGACGCAATTACAGTTGGAATAGTACCGGTCTTCGCATCATCAACGATCCACATCCACGTTCACACACATTTCGCACTTCACAGACTCAACAAACTTTTCGCACTCTACCATGAACTATACATGGATCACGTTTCACGTTAATTCCACGATAGCATTTCTCCCACACCACTTTATGTTGGAGCTCAATTTAATAATATAATAAGAATCGTAGTTTTTCTTTCTTCTAAAAAAAAATTCAAAATAGTTTAAGAATAGCACTATTTTAAACAAAGTGTTTTACTTCAAGCATATCAACAAATCAAAATTTACTAAAATAATCACTATTAATCAGCATTAGTACACAAAATAAAATGGATCAAACATTTGTTTTTTATATTTTAGATTATTATTGTATTGGTTTCAATACTTTATATGAGACTATATTTGTTTATATCATAATATCACTTGACTTTATTTGTTTATTTTATAAATTAAAATTATGATTTTTATAATATGGTAATTTTGAGATATTTATCGGTTTTAAACCAATAAATAAAAATTATGATTATCATTGAATAGGTACTACTTAACTAATAAAGTGATATATTGAATTTATTTTATGGATTTTTTTTTATCATTTTAGGACGTTTCTTTAATTTTTTTTACATATTAAAATATTATTTGAGTTTTTTATAATAAAATATTACAGTTTATTAATATAATATAATATAACAAAAAGTTATTCTTTTAGAAAGCACTAGAGATACATTACATATTTTATATAAAATATCTCAATTATAAATTTTTAAATATATTTTATTTACTTTTTAGTTATAATAATCTTTAAATAATACTTAAAAATAATGACCCTAGTAAACATGAAAAGTTTTTTAAACAAAATGTACATTTAAACATATTTTCATTACTCGTAAACATGCTTACTAGCATCATTGAAATATATTTAAACATATTTTAAGATAAATTTATATAGTACTTAAAATTAAGAAAACTCTAATAAATATAGGTATATTATTAAATTTATGTATACATTTAACTTATAAAAGATTAAAATAATTATAAAAAATGTTCACCTTTATATAAATTAAAAATACACAAAACATGTGAATAAAATTGTGTAAATATATATTAATATTAATAAATATTTTACATATATTTTAAAAGTGATATATATATATATATATAATATGAATTTTGAATTAATTTATTATAATAATACAAATATTTTATTTTCATACAATAATTATAATTTTATTTAAATTTTAGTCCTACCTACCAGTTATGTCGTTAAATGGGTAGATTTATAACAAAATAATTCATAAATATAGTTTCTTTATATACACAAATTATAGTCATAAATTTTTAAATATTAAAACTGACCTTTTTGTTTTCACAAAAATAATAAATGAAGGTTCTTATAACTATATATAATTTTTCTTTTTTTCAGGTTTGGTCTATCAAAATATACACTCAGTCATATGTACATCCTAATATATTTATAAAGCCAATAATTTAAAAATTAATTTATAAATATATATTTTCAATATATATTATTATTGTCCTCAACATAATTAACTATTTTGGATTATTAAATTATAAAAAGAAAATTAATAATAAAGATAGAAAAATAAATATTTAATTCTTATCAACAATTTATATAGAGATATAGATAAAGATAGGAGTATTTTGGTGTAATTTAATTCAATTTTATTTTAAAAACTTACTTGAACCAAACCCAAAATTTAAATGCGGTTTGATTTTAATTTGTAAAAAATCTAAACCAAATAAAATCAATATTTTACATATTAATTTTGAAAATTTTTGAATTTTTTTATAGAATAGTTAAACATATTATAATAAAATAATTATTAAATAAACAATATTATATATAATTTTGATATTTATAGTTTTAATTTATTAATACATATCTTAAATTATGAGAAAATAATTGCTATACTTATTTTAAATGTCATTTTATATTTAATTTCAATATTATAATTTTGATTTAATTTTAGTTGATTTTTAGTTATTAAACTGAAAATCTGAACTGAAAATTTTAAATTTTTTTAATTTAAAATATTTAAAAAATCTATTTTTATCATTTTTTATTTTATTTTTAGATTTTTTTGATTTTAAACACCTTTAAAGTTTCTCATTGAATATTATGTTTGTAAGTAAAATATGCAGTGGAGAAAGTTTTGCAAAGTTTATGTAGGTGAGAGATATTAAAAATGCTAATTTGTGTCTTTGACTGTTTTATCTTAATTCATTCCAAGAAAAATCGTCATTATCTATCATCAAAATCTGGATAAAAAAATAATAATAAGTATTCATAGAAAAAGTTATTAAACGGAATATTTGGTCCTTAGATAATCATCAACAGTTTATTGGTGATTATTTACGAATCTATGAGTGGATATGTTATTTATAGATGTATTCGTGTTTGGTTGGTGATATAAATTAAACTCAATCCAACAACAACATTTGAATATCATATCTTAATTAAGAACTCAAACAATAAATTATTAATTTATTATCGATGTAGTTATATTTTGTAACATAATATTTTATCAATCTCACAAGTTAACAATAATTTAGAGACTCGTGCTGTCATTATTTATGCTTTTCTTATTGTTGGTTGTGTTGTTGATGCTATTGTTACCAAAATGTATTAAGTGTGATCATATTAAAATAATGATTATGGTGACTTAATCTTTTAATATGCTACTATAATTATGCAATTATGAACATGTTCTTTCAGTTGGACAATGCAAACAACTTAAACATTCATGTAATTGTTGTGTTAGTGTATCCCTACTTTGACAATTATAATTATGAACGAGTTCTTTACTTAGATTCATCTTTTCACATAACATGTGTATCAATAATATAAGTTCAATATCCTATTTCTCTCTTTTCCCTAAGGTCAAAAAAGATTATTCTCATTTTCTAATATATGATAATCTACTATCAAATTATTCATCTCACCATAAATATAAATTATTAAAAAAAAACATAACAATTGATTAAACATAACTCTATAATTTATATTGTATATGAAAAAAAATTATTTTTATAACCGTTTTTTTAATCATCGAATAGAAAAAAAAGTGTGACATACAATGTAATATGATTTATAAATAGGACTATCAAATACAGTTTGAACTAGTTTGATATTTATTTCTAAATGAATTATAATTTTTAGCCCAGTTTTACGTAAGACTAGTGAGCTAAATTTAAAAACATTTAAATAAAAATAATAATAACAAAATATATTTTTAAAATTTTAATTATATTAATAAAATTATTTGTTTCAATATAATGATTTAATATAAAAATTATAAGATAAGAGATTTAATCAATCTAAAATAAGAATTACAAATTTACTCTTTAATTTTACTTTCCAGGTCTTTGATCTTGATCGAGTAGTATTTTATTTTAAAGAATTCTTGCTTGAGCTTCTTGTTGATGATTGAGTCATTTCCTATAAATTCTTCATGCAAGGTTCCGAGTATTACTAAGGTGTGTCCCAATTCATGGAACTAGTTTTGTTTAAAAACTTTGAGATTATGATACCACTCTTTGAGAGTTCCAGTCATTATGCAACAAAATTCTTCGATGACCTTATAGGAATCAAAGTCTTTGACTAGTTTGGTGTCTAACCAAATTCCAAATTCGATCAACCTCGATCTCCATTAGCTTGGAGGGATGTCGTCAATAGTGAACCAGGGTCCATCGTTTGGCTTTGAAGAAGCATTTGTCCTAGAAGGACCATAGTCAACTTCTTCATCAGGAGGGTCATACATAGATGGGTTCATGTCTGACCTCTGATCGAGAAGTGTTAGTCATCAGGATTTGGGTTAAGTCTTCAAAAGTATGAACTTCAGTTTCTGACTCTTTGGAGGAATACCCTTCAACAATGATAGAGTTGGTAGAAGTATCCGGAAGAGTTGGAGTTGTAGGAGTATCCACAAAGGTTGGAGTTGAAGGAATATCCATAAAGGTTGGAGTTGGAGGAATATCCGAATGAGTTGGAGTAGGACAAGACTCTATAGCCATTTGAGAGTACGGATCTTGGAAGTCTTGGAAGACCAGGTCAAACAGGTCTTGCTTTTTGGGTGAAGGTAAATCTTTGAAGGAAGATTCTGGAGAAGGTGTGACAACCTTCTTGCCTTTGTCTGGTCTTGGTGCTATTGGTCTAGGCCGTGACCTATAAGCAGTAAATGTGGGTAATGACCAGGAGGTTTGTGGTGATGGTCGGAAGTACGGAGAAGGGTTCTAGAAAAAGGAGTAGGTTAAAGATGAAGTGAACAGGGAATATGGATCTTTCTCTGTTTTCTATTGTTTGACTTTCTCTTCAATGTAACTATCCATCTCCTAGATTTGTACCATGAGCCTTCTGATCTCCCTTTCTTTGGTGTGAGACAGTTCTCCAAAAATTGTATTTTTCCAATCTTCTTCTAGCCTCGAGAGCTCTGAAGAAAGTTGTTTGTAATATTTCCTTATATTGGAATTGAGATACTGGAGTTTGTCATCAGTCTTCAAGGTGTGTGGAGATCTTGTCTATCTTCTGGTCTATTCGTTGCAGGATAGAGTTCTGGGCTCTGGCATTCTCTGTTTTCTAGTTAAGTATTTCCTCGGCCTGACTTAAGAGTTTCGGCTTTCCATTAAGGTCGACTTCTTATTTGAATATGTGTGGTTTAGTCATTGTTTTGGATACGAGATCAACATTCCTCTTAAGAGGAGAAAATTCTTCCTTATAAGTCATAGGGTTGATCATCATGCACAAGATGGAAGGAGCAACAAGATGTGGTTTGGCAAAGGTTCTGCACATTTTCTGTTTTCGAGAGAGGAGTCTTTCCTCTCTAAGGATCTCAACGCATCGCTGATATTTCCAAGAGAGATTTGGCTTCTCTTGGTGGTGGAGTCCTATTCAGAGACCTTTTCCTGGTTCGAATCTTCTATTGGGAGAGAAAAGGAGGTCTACAAGATCTTCCTCTGTAGTCATGATTTTCATCGTCTGAGTCATCGTTCTCCTTGTCACTAGTGTCTCCAGTGTGATCTCAACAGTCACAGCCGAAATCACACATGTTTGGGTCAACGTCCCAGATGAAGTGCCCTCCTATCTTATCTGTGAAGATATGTTTGCCATTAGAGTACATGCTGGTAATGGGGATCTTGCCTTCTTTGGTGACTGGCGATATCATCATGGATTCGAAGATTGAGGTGCTTGAATTGGGAACATCTTAGGTTTTTTGAAGATGGTCTTGATTGTGCCGTCTACAGATCTTTTGAAGGTTGCCTCTGTGAACTGGATATGTTTCTGGTTGACGTGGAGTTTCTCATAGTTAGTCACCCACTGCATCAGAATCAGTTTCTGCAACTCTTGTTGAGAGATGTTTTTGGGGATTTGAACTATGCAGGGTGTTTCATTTTGGTTGTTAGCCAAGACAAATAGTGCTCTATCTTAACAGGATGGTAGCACAAGATTTATCGAATGATCTTGCAACCTGTAAATAATCTGATGGTGGAGGGTGGTTGATAGTGCATCAGCTACGTATTCAGCTCCAATGATCTGGATCTGAACTTTTAATCTTTAAGAGATGGTGAGATCTTTCAAACTAATGTTGATGTTGGGAAAAATAGTTAGGACTACACTTCCGGTTTGGAAAGTAGTCAAAACAATACCGATGATGGGATGTTCATAGTAGAGGTAGCTAGAGTCTAAGAGTGATACTCTTGTTGAGATAGGTAGTCCCCATCTTCCATGGAGGGAAAGAACTAACCGTATAACTCCGTAATAGAGATGAGTGTATCCGTTTTGCCAGTGTCTTACGAGATTCTTGATGTTGACATACTGTTCTTCTGTGGTGGAGGCAAGGACACACTGGTCCATCCTGGAGGATTTGTATTGTAAAAATATTATAAAGACTTAAAAAAAGACTGTACCTTTCGGAGATTTAGGCATTTTTCGACATATAAAGATATTTTATAAGGTTTTCGAGATATTCTTGAAAAGAGAAAAAGTGAAATTTAACAAGACGGACCAGAGTCAGATGGTTGTGTTTGATTATCTATGTCTAAATGTTTCTCTTTCTCACGTTGGACTTATATTTCCTACTATCATACATTAAAAAAAAAAAAATAATTAGACTCAGATGCAATCTTGTCAACGTGAAAGTTTTGATTTATTGAAAATGTGACGAAACTGCGATCCATTTGAAATATTTTAATAAATAAAGTTCGGATGGTAAACTAAAACAAGGTATCAACAACTAATTGAACAATTATTTTTCTATCAAAATACTATATACTTTGTCATCCCCTGTCACCATCCAAATGTGAATAATCGTATATATTTTTGACAACCCTATCATAATACAAAGGTTTCCAATTTTGACATTAAACAATCAAAATTCAAATGTGAATTCTCGTGTACAGTAACAGATAACTATTTTGCAAAAACTTTTTATTATGAAAAAAAAATCATAATTAAAAAAATAAATTATTATGATTTATATATTTCAAAAAATAATAAAAATATGATATTTAATTAATGAAACAATAAATATATCTAAACAGAGAAATTAAAACAAAATTTAAAATAATATTTAAAAATTAATTATAAAAAAATGTCAACAACAACTGTATTTTCATAATGATAATAATAATGCAATTCAAAATAAATAATTGTTTAAATTTAATGGTAATTAAATGTGGAGGGGAATGAGTTTTAAACCAACCTCGAAAGTTTGTAGTAATAACAAATTATAATTTGTCTTAAAAGTAAATTTTGGTCTTACTTTTAGAGTTACTATGGTTAAAGTTAATAAATTTTCAAATTTAAATTTAAATATGTTTTATTTAGGATAAATTGATAATTTTTGTTTCTTTTTCATTTTTAATAAATTGTTTTTGTAATTTACTATATAAATTACTTTATTCTATTGTTCAATAGTTTTCGAGATCCTACTAAAATAATATAAATTTTCTGCGCCGAAAACAGTTAATTGAACCACAAATAAGACGTGATAATTTATCATATATATATATATATATATATATATATATATGGAAATCCAATTTTTACTCTCTAATTTATTGTTTTTTTTTTCGGTTGAATTTCTTTGAAAGACCTACAAGTGTATTAGAGTTAATAACTTATATGATGACTGATAATTTAAGAATGATTATTATATTAATTTTTTTTTATATGATGATTGATCATTTAAGAGTAATTATTATATTAATTTTTTTTTTATATAATATATCATAAAAATGTATTTAGTTATGATGATTGACGATAAAAAAAAGAGATAATAATTTGAGATATACTAATAGAGTTATTTATTTATTTATTTTCTTTCCATTTCTTATTATCTCTGTTTTATATTAATATAATTTCTTGACTACATATACAATAAACAATGAGAAAAGATTTATTTTCTCTAATTATATTATTACGTCATAGACGTGGAACACGTTTAATTGTGAACGCTGTTATATACGAGAGAAGAAAGATTCAAGATTTTCTAGGGAGAAGCGAAGAAGATAGTAAACCAAGTCTTTGTCTGTTGGCTCCTGCTTCTGTTTCCCAGTCTCAGGCTTAAGTTTAAGACCACAGTCCACACAAACACAACCAAACACTGAACATTGGACACAAACAACTACGTACCTGCAGAGATGGTGAGAACCCCTTCTTGCAACAAAAATGGGCTCAAGAAAGGAACGTGGACAAAAGAGGAAGACAACAAGTTGATCGCTTATGTCACTAAGTATGGCCACTGGAATTGGCGTTTGCTTCCCAAGTTTGCAGGTATTTGATTATAAAGATCATGTATATGCATTACCAGTACTGTGAAGTTACATTTTATGCTTTAACCTACAAAACATTAGTCTTGAATCCGCTATATGGACCTTAATGGTGAGTTTATTCGAGAAATCTTCACAAGTTTTTAAGTTCAAACTTCTCATTGAATTTTGTACACACACAAATCGATTAGTCTTGAATCCACAGTAGGTGATATGGTCAAGTTATCTGAGTAATTTCACGAGTTTTTAAGTTCAAACTTCATTGCATTCATTATATATTGTACACACACAAAAATAACAACTAGTCCATAATCCATTATGGCGGACCTAATGGTGAAGTTATTTGAGTAATTTTCCCGAGTTTTTAGTTTCAAACTTCATTGTTGTCGTTGTATATTGTGCATACATACAAAAAATAAAAATAACGCCTGAGGTATTTTCTGCTTTCTCTTTGAATCATGTTGGCGTTCCTTATAGGTCTAACCATGTTGGTTTTCAGGTCTTGCAAGGTGTGGGAAGAGTTGCAGGCTGAGATGGCTGAACTATCTAAGGCCAGATGTTAAAAGAGGGAATTTTAGTCACGAAGAAGAAGAAACCATTGTGAAACTTCACAAAAAGCTTGGTAATAGGTACGTATACATTACTGCAACTGGTACTACTGTTTCTTCTGCGTTTTCACAACACAAAACTTTGGTCGCACAAAAAGGCTAAACACGTTGTCATGAATCCGATTGCACCAATCGCAATCGCATTGTGATCATAAATTCATAATTCAAAAATAGGAACGTTTGAATGGAAAAAAGTGTTGCAATATATTCAGACACGATTGCATTGACCAGGCCAAAACCAAAAGTCTACGTAGTTTAGTTCAGTTTTGATAATCTCTTATGAGATCATTAGAAATATTAAAAAACATCACAAATTCACATCTTCTGTGATCAAACTTGTTAGTTTGCATTTTCTTAATATTTTAAAAGAATGTTTTAAAAGGTTTGAATATTTTAGAAACACAATATATTAACAAAAGTATTAGAATCTTGTTTTGATCGATTAACTATATTTGAATAAATTATAAATAATTTATGATATAGGATTCAATCTACTATTACATCATAAAATAAAATAGATATTTTAAAGAGTTTGAACTCTTACTTACTTCACTCTCGACTCAATTATATATTCACAACATTCTCTTAAATCATCTGGAGGTATATATATATATATTATCCCGTAACCACTTTAAAAGTTTGTTTCTAAATTATCCCAAGCTATTCTTCATTGTATGCATGATTTTATTAACCCTATATTTCTTTTAATCTATTATTTTATTAAAAAATTCCATAAATTAAAAAAAAAAACATTCAGTAGTTAAATAATCTCATATAAAATTTTAAAATATCTGTTAAAAATATAAAATATAATTTATATGTTAATAAAATATTCTATTATAATATTAATTATATATAATATAACTTATACACTAAATATATTTCATAAAATTTAAAGTATATAAAAATAAACATCTATATATTAGAAACCAGTTTCAAGAAGTCCAAAGCCATAATCCGTGGCTTGATTTATTTCAACATTTTCTTTAAGAGGAATGCATCGCAAATAAAAGTTAAAAAAATAAATAAATAAATCTACGCTGACCTCATACGTCTAACGTCATCAACGGTTGAAGCGTATATACAAATAATATAGATTATTCTATTTTATTATTATTATTATTATATAAGAATTTAATCTATATGTATTTATGCTATCAATAATTTTATGTCATCATTTATCATATTAATAAAAAAATTAATTGATTTTTATAATGATCATTATGAAAAAAATTGTGTTGAGAACTATATAAAAAATAGTTCTATAACGATTTGAATAATTGGTTTAGTTGTTCTTAATATATATATATATATATATATATATATATATATATATATATATATATATATATATATATATATATATATATATATATATATATATATAATTAACTCCACGTTAGATGAGTATAAACATGAACCAGTCAGATGTAAACAAAGTACCCAAATAAGACTTCGTGGCTGAAAGATAACTTTCACAAAATATTATAGGAAAATGATTGAGAACCAAATTTTATCAAACAATTTGATTTATTAATTAAATAATAATTTTATTTTAATTCAATTATTTATGAATATAATATTAATAAATAGGATTGTCTAAATGTATTTTTTAGGTGATGTCAAAAATATCACTATTTAATATTCAAATATTAATAAGTAGAATTAATCTAATGTAATTGGAGTGAGCGAAGGAGACCAAAACTATGTGAAACAACAATGACAGGACACCGAATTTTATTTGGTAATTAAGAGCATGAGAAGGACAGAAAGAGAAAGGGCTGAAAATAAATTTGAACGCAGATTATTGTGTGGCGTGTTGATCTTGGTTTATTTGAATGCAAAACATGATTGTGTGGAGTGTCAGAAATTGGGTCATCAAATTCAGAACAGAAATGATTTTGTGGTGTTTTGAAATCAATATTTTTGTGGTTGTGAAGGTGGTCAACAATTGCTGCTGAATTGCCAGGGAGGACTGATAACGAGATTAAAAATCACTGGCACACAGTCCTCAAGAAGCGTTCTGAACAAAAATCAGACGCTAAACGAGGGGTTGGACAAGAAGCTACTGTTTCCAGGTCATCGGAGAGTGTATCAGAGAACTACAGTGACCCCGATGCAACAAATGCTTTTGCTGCTGCAACCTCCGCAAACCATGAAAGTTTTGATGATTTCTCCTATTTGGATGCATACACGGAGCCTGTGTTTGCAGATTTTTGGACAGACCCTTACTTAATTGACAACTCCTATGTCCCACCTGAGTGTGAACCTGGTTACTTTAGTCCTATGTACGATGTAGAACTTTGGAACCAAAATGAGCTTTACCTGCACCAATGTGAGGGTTTATTCCAATGATCGTAAGTTTCCCACTGCTTTCTTGGAATTAAAAGGTTGTTAATGTGTGTGTGATTGTAATATTTTGTGACCAGAATAAGATGAAGAACAGTGGTATGTAAATACTATGTGGAGATGCAATTAAGATCTATGTATAATGAGATTTTCATATCAAAACTGAAAGACCCATAAGTTACTCTTCGTTCCCCCATCTGGGAGAGTTCCAGAAGGTGTTAGGGAACATGCATGTTATCTATTTCATGTCAGTTAAATAAAAAGAAATACCTTACATGAATATTCATAATCAAAACAAAAATTACATATTACAAGATCTGGTAAGAAGAAATATATAAATTTTTTTTTATAGATATTGTAAAGTAATGAATTTTCTTAATGTTTAATTAAGAAAATCAATCGAATTTAATTTATTATTTATCCGCTGTTTTCAATTTGACTTTGCCAAGAGTCAAGATTCGTTTCTTAATCTAGTAAAATATTTCTAAAGATAAAGTTACATGGGACTAAAATATCAAATAAATATTATTATAATAAAAATATTTTATTTTTTAAATTATTAAAATGTCTAAAATATCAAAAGAATGTTAATGGAAGATATTTATATATACATGTATTAATAATTTTATATCTATGTTAACTGCTATTAATTTAAGCTGAAGAAATAGTAATTTATTCATTTTTATGGGTTTATTATTTCTTCATTCATTATGACAAAACAGTTTTATTATTCTTTATTCATCTATAAGTGTTTTGTTTCTTTTTTATTATAATTTTTGGTTAAGAACTTAAAGATGAGGTTATCATGAGAACTAAAAATATAATAATTAAATTTATAAAGATAAAAAAGATGTATGAATAAAAGAAATTCAAAATGGGTATAATTATAAAATTATACACATGTATATATAAACTTTTATTTTAGTTTAATTCTATACTACGGTTGAAGAACAAGATGAAAAATAATTATATAATGAGTTATTTTAAAAATATAAATTAAAAAATTAGATATTATAATAAAATATTAATGAATAATATATGAATATAATTTTTTTTTTCTTGAATATTTTTATCCTGAATTATTTTGTTGAAAATTTAGTCACTGTATAAGTGGAATATGTAATTTACTATCCAATATTTAGGTCATGTATTTTTATATTTAATGAGTCCATGCAAAATTAGTGAGGGAGTTGAATGTCTTAGTGAGGGCTTTAAAAACATGATAACACTACCTTTATTTCAAGAAATTTGTCATTTATAGTAATTATGAGTCCCTCAAGTATTTCAAGGAACAAGATAAACTTAATAAAAGTATGTCAAGTGGGTGGAATTTCTAGAGTAATTCACTACAAAAAAAAGCTTATTATCTACTGGGTAAAATCGGTAGGTAATGCACTCACCTAAACAAAATATTTTTATTATATTTTCGAAAATTTGAATTATTATTACCAACCACTAAGCTATTAGGATATTTTAATAATAATTTACAAATAAATTATATTTATGTATTTATGTATTTATATATTTATGTATTTATATATTTATATATTTATCTATTTATATATTTATGTATTTATGTATTTATATATTTATGTATTTATGTATTTATGTATTTATTTATGTATTTATATATTTATGTATTTATGTATTTATGTATTTATGTATTTATATATTTATATATTTATATATTTATGTATTTATATATTTATGTATTTATGTATTTATATATTTATGTATTTATATATTTATGTATTTATGTATTTATATATTTATATATTTATGTATTTATGTATTTATATATTTATGTATTTATATATTTATGTATTTATATATTTATGTATTTATGTATTTATGTATTTATGTATTTATATATTTATGTATTTATATATTTATATATTTATATATTTATATATTTTATATTTATATATTTATATATTTATATATTTATATATTTATATATTTTATATTTATATATTTACACGAATAAATATATGTATAATGTAGTTGTAAATTATTATTAGAATGTCCTAACAGTTTAGTAGTTGAAGTATCAGTTTTCAACTTTAAGGTACTGGGTTTGATTATTGCTAGTGACAATTCTTTTAGTTTAATATAATTTACCTACGGATAGTAATTCCGTAGGTAATTACCTACGGAATTACCCACGGATGACATTACCTACGGATAATATCCGTAGGTAATGGATAATTAGAATTCCGTAGGTAATGTACACTTTACCTACGGATAGTAATTCCGTAGGTAATTACCTACGAAATTATCCACGGATTACATTACCTACGGATAATATTCGTAGGTAATGGATAATTACCTACGGATAGAATTCCGTAGGTAATAGGCTTTTTTTTTGTAGTGATTCCCTTATGTTATCAAACATAAAAGGGGACAAGGTAACTTTGTAGCCGATACTCTTTCTAAGCATCATGTTTTGCTTTCTATGCTTGAAACAAAATTTATTGGTCTTGAATGTTTGAAAAACATGTATGAAAATAATAAAACTTTTGGTGAAATTTTTAAAAATTGTGAAAATTTTTCAAAAAGTGGTTTCTTAAGACATGAAGGATTTCTTTTCAAAGAAAACAAATTGTGCGTGCCTAAATGTTTTACAAGAAACTTGTTTGTTAGTGAAGCACATGAAAGAGGTTTAATGAGACATTTTGGGGTCCAAAAGACTCTAGAAACATTACAAGAACATTTTTATTGGCCTCATTTGAAAAATGATGTGTATAAATTTTGTGAACATTGCATTGTTTGTGAAAAGGCAAAGTGAAAAGTTAAGCCTCATGGATTGTATACTCCATTGTCAATTCTAAAGTATCCTTGGATTGATTTATCTATGGATTTTGTTTTGGGGCTGTCAAAAACAAGTAGTGACAAAGATTCAATTTTTGTGGTTGTTGATATGTTTTCTAAAATGGCTCATTTTATTCCATGTAAAAAATTGAATGATGTTTCTCATGTGACTGATTTGTTTCTCAAGGAAATTGTGAGACTCCATGGTTTACCAAGGAGCATTGTTAGTGATAAGAACTCTCAATTCGTAAGCCATTTTTGGAGGATCTTGTGGGGCAAGTTGGGAACTAAATTGTTATTTTCAACCACTTGTCACCCACAAATTGATGGACAAATGGAAGTTGTTAATAAGACCTTGGGAACATTGCTTAAGACAATTTTGAGGAAGAACTTAAAGAATTGGGAAGTTTGTTTACTCTATGTTGAGTTTGTTTACAATATAATTGTTCATACCACTACTAATTGTTCTCCTTTTGACTCCTCTTGATCTTTTGTCTATGCCTAATGTTTCAGTTTTTAAGCATAAAGAAGGTCAAACTAAGGCGGACTATGTAAAGAAACTTCATGAAAGAATAAAAAATCAAATTCAGAAAAAATAAAAATAAAAGATATGCTAAGCATGTCAATAAGGGGAGAAAGAAGGTTGTCTTCCAACCCGAAGATTGGGTTTGGGTGCACATGAAAAAGGAAAGGTTTCCAGAATAAAGGAAATCAAAACTTCAACCAAGGGGAATGGTCCATTCCAAGTGCTTGAAAGAATCAATGACAATGCTTACAAAATTGAGTTGCCCAGTGAGTATAATGTTAGTTCCACATTCAATGTGTCTAACTTATCTCCTTTTGATGTAGATGACAAATCCAATTTGAGGACAAATCCTTCTCAAGAGGGAGAGAATGATTGAGACATGACCATAAGCAAGGGCAAGGATCTACTTGAAGCACTTGGAGAACCTACGATAAGGACTAGAGCAAGGGAAACAAATAAAACTATTCAACAAATATTATCCATATTATTTGAATACAAGCCCACATTTCAAGGAGAAAAGACCAAAGTTATGAATTGCATCATGACCTAATTGGAGGAGGACTAATGCGTCACTTTGTTTCAGTCTTTAAGTTTGTTTAAATAATGGTCCAATTCTTTATAAATTTGGCTAACCAAATTATGCTTTGGGTTAATCAATTAATGGACTTTAGTTTGGTTTTGTTTCAAGTTGTAATAAGGGCCCAATTGAAAACTTAGGCATTAGCCTTTGAAAGACCAAAATGGTGTATAGCTGATTGACTTTTGGTTGTTACAATTTCAGTTACAATAAGTTATTAAGTAGTTTTCAATTCTTAAGTTAATGGATAATTATTAGCATTTATTTGCCTCCATTAAGTAGTTTTTAATTCATAGGTTAATGGATTATTATTAACATTTATTTGTCTCCATTAAATAGTTTTCAATTCCTAGATTAATGGATCATTATTAGCATTTATTTTCCTTTATTGAATCTTTGTAACTCTGATGGCAAAACTTCTATATAAACTAAACCATTTTTATCAAAAATACAAATTGAGTTTTATTCAAAAATATTAAATTTTAGCTCTTTTATCTTGATGACATTGATTCTCCTAAGTTCTTGAGTGATTCAAGAATCCTTAATTGTATCAAAGTACTTTCACATCCTTTGTGAGTTGTCTCCCTTGGGAAGAGTGATTCTTTCTTTCGACCTTTCACATTCACCTCGTCTGACGACACTCGAATAACAATTTAGGGTTAGGTTTTAAGAGTTAATTTGATTGGAAATATAAAACAGAAAAAATAAAGGATACCGTAGGCGCCAAAAATAATAATATTTGATAAGCCAAGAAGGATCGTCACAAGAATCGAATAATTCTTGATAAGATCAAGTGATGCAAGGAAGAACCCTAGCAGAGCAACAAGATTCTGAATATTACGTATGTTCCTTCTGAATTTTCAAATGTTTAATACAACTTAAGTTTATGAGTTTGTCTCATTGCAGGAAATAAAGATAAATTAAAATCCTAATATCCCAAGCAAAGTTAAGTTGCTCAGATGGTTCAGTGAAGACATTATAAGCTTTGGGTCTTGGGTTCAAATCCCCACTATAGCAAATAAAATAATAATAATAATAAAAACTAAATCTTTTAGTTGGGTCTCCTATCTCTCCAAACATTCTATGCATGTG